CCACATACTGTTCCTGCAAAGGCAGACTGCTGCTCTCGTCCTGGCCCAGGTGGCTGGTGGGTTTCCATGCTAGGTTGCAGGGCCCCGTGGTAGAATCATTCCCTTGACCATTTGTTACCTCATCAGAACAAGGATTTAATTCTTTTTTTTTTCCAAATGAGGAAGGCCCCTCAGCAGCAGTTCTGAGATGGGGCATCACTGCCCACAGAGCACTGCACCCGCCCCCATGGTGCCACAGTGCTTCACCACCAGACCTCTTTCGGTTCACAGCTTGTCTTCTGAAACCTTCCCACCACCATGCCTTCACTACCTAGCTACTGCTAGGCTGTTTTCATTAATTATAAAAGTGGAAGGAAAAAAACTTATAGACTAAAAGTAAACAAAACCAAAACCCAGAGAAGCAGTGGGACTTTGCTAACATCACACAGTGGCTATGTAAGTGTTCAAAGTGAGGGCTCCCATCTCCAGACCAAGTCCTCATTCCTCCCGCAAATGTTTTTAGCACTGACCATGACCTAGGCTCTGGGAACACACAATGAGTCAGACACAGTCCTGCCCTCCTGAAGCTTACAGTCCATGGGGATTCCTTGTCCACCACACTTTGAGATACTTGAACTTGTCTGTAAGTTTGAACTTTTGAAAGTTCAAACTTTAAACAAACAGCAAATAAATAGTGCAGAAGGATCTGGTGGAATGTGCTAGACCAGAAGAGGACAGCCCAGAACCCAGTCATAATTTTATTTCTCTGCTGTCTATATGACCTTGGGGAAGTACTTGCCCTTTATTTCAGTTTTGACATCTATAAATACTCTACAGCTTTACTGGCCTGAATGCTACATTTGTGTGTGCCTTGTGTGATTGAAAGAGATGTGTAATAAGGACAGTTACATTGATAATTAGCAGTCTGTACATTTGGCCATGGGATAACCCTTTGGGTGTGCATCCTTTCATTTTATAGATCGCTTGACGATATCTTACTGTCGGAGTAGTGGTCCCGGCGGGCAGAATGTAAACAAAGGTACAGGCACCTTGGTGTTTTCTGTTGCTTTAAAACTTAGCTGGGAGAGGGGATTGAAGAGGGAGCTGTTTTTACATTCATGTGGAATAAAGGGATTTTTTCAGCCAAAGCTTAAATACCACCAGCTTATAATAATCCTCTTTATCCTTTTGAATGTGGTCTGATTCTCAGGCTGTCAGCTATGGCTTGCTAGGAGTAGGATTGGCTTGTGAAGCTAAACAAAGAGAACTCACAGTGTGAGCTGGCAGCCAGCTCCAAGACAGGTTTCCTTCATTCTTGTGGAACCCATTCCCCCCATTCTTTACTGAAGCCAGTAAAACTGGAAGAGAAGCATTGCATGGGTAGTTACCAGAAGGTTTTTTGTCCTGAAGAGCCTCATTGCCTTTGCGGGCTCGTTCCATGGCCAACTTCGACAAAGGCCAGCACATGCATGGCTGGGTATCTGACTTCCCTTGGTTCCAGGATAGTCACTGGTCCCCTGGGTGCCTCATCTTCCCAAGTCTCAGTGATCACTACTCCTTTCTTTCATCCGCAGTGAATTCCAAGGCTGAAGTCAGGTTCCATTTGGCCACAGCTGACTGGATTGCAGAGCCTGTGAGGCAGAAGATTGCGCTCAAGGTAACCACTCTCCCTTTATTTCCCTGCAGATTCCTCAGTGGCTTCTAAACCTTTACTCTGCAGAAGTCCACTTTTTCCTTTTGTTCTTTCAGCATAAAAATAAGATCAACAGGGAAGGAGAGTTGATACTCACCTCCGAAAGCAGCCGCTATCAGTTCCGGAATCTGGCAGATTGCCTACAGAAAATTCGAGATATGATCGCAGAGGCCAGCCAGATGCCCAAGGAGCCATCCAAAGAAGATGCTCAACTTCAGAGAATCAGGTACCAGAAGATGCCCTAGGTTGTGTAGACTGATTCATGTGGGCAAGAGCTGCACAGGAAAGAAAGGAGGCAGGATGAAGTTCAAGAGGCCCGAGCAGGCATGGAGAATCTGCAGGAGGGGCAGGGACTCACCCTGGACGGGGTGTGCATCTGCACCTGGTGACCGGGCTATTCTGCCTCCCACTCAGCTTCCCACCATTCCTACCACTTTGAAAGGCACTGATTGGGCATTTGGGTCTCATTGTGGTCTTTTTGTTTTCAGGATAGAAAACATGAATCGGGAAAGGCTGAGACAAAAGAGAATAAATTCTGCCATAAAGACAAGCAGGAGGGTAGACATGGACTGAAATCCCCCCAGCATCCACTCTTCAGGGCGTTGGAGCAGCTGCAGCTGAGAGCCCTGTAACGCCATGAGGATATTCGTTTTCTTTATCTTTTTTGCTGTTAATATTGGAACCGTTAAGAGAGTATTCATTTGGAATGAGGGCTTCAGGCACTAGTTGCAGGTCTTCATATACCATTACCACGTTGTTAAACCATAGTTACCCATTGACTGTATTACTAACTGCAATAAATTTTGTTTTTTTGATACCGGGAATTGAACCTGGGGATACTTAACCACTGAACCACATCCCCAGCCCCTTTTTGTATTTTATTAGAGACAGGAACTCTCTGCATTGCTTAGGGCCTTGCTAAATTATTGAGGCTGGCTTTGAACTCTCAATCTTCCTGCCTCAGCCTCCCGAGCCACTGGGATTACAGGTGTGCACCTGGCTTGCAGTAAACTTGTTAAGCTCAGTGGGCCTTGCCTGTCAGAATGCTTCAAGACAAGACACTGACCTTTTCTCTCACCTGAAATCTACCCCACTATCACTGCCTCAGCGCTGATGATTTCACAGCTTACTGCTAGAGAACAGAGGGCTCTGGGTCTTCCATCAAGGAACATACAACTAGGCAGAAGGGCATTTGAGCTAGGACTTGAAAAAGGTATAGGATTTCAATCAGTAGAGAGGGAGTATAATATGCTATTTGAAAGGAAAAGTGTAAATCCAGGAGACAGAAGAGCTAGGGTGCAGAATGTGACAAGGAAGCCATTGGTACTGAATGGCAGATTCCTGCAGGGGCTTGTCGGAAGTCCATCTAGAAAGGCAGAGGTTCTATTAGAGAGCCCGGAACTCAAGGTAAATTGTTAATTTTGGGCAGTACTAGTGATTGAACCAAGGGCATTTTACCCTGAGCTACATCTCCAGCCACCCCAACCTTTTTTTGAAACAGGGTCTCATTAAATTGCCCAGGCTGGTCTCAAACTTGAGATCTCCTGCCTCAGCTTCCTGAGTTGCTGGGATTACAGGTGTGCACCACCATGCCTGACCATGGTAGGGTTTGGATTTCGTGAAACATTAGGTAACAGGGAGCCACTAAGAATTCGAGTATTGCGTATTAGGTGTATATTAAATATGGCAGTGGGCTTTAGAGGCAGGAAGAGTTCACTGGAATTGAAAAGAGACTTTTGCAGTCCTGTGGGTGTGGGAACAAGCACCCAGGCTAGGGACCTAGGCTAATATAACAGTGGTGGATTATTCTGGTATGTATGAAGTTCTTCAAATGCTCTATATTATTTTGATGCAGTTCTCTCATTTGATAAATACCAGATCATGATGCTCCAAGTGTAAGGTAATGAACTATAGTAGTATATACACTTGAGTAGGCACCTCATCATTCATATAGGTAAGTCCAGACCAGGGGGTAAGTCATTTACAAGTGACTGGCAAAATACAGAAGATGTGGAGCTGGGGTTGTGGCTCAGCAGTAGAGCGCTCGCCTCGCACTTGTGAGACCCTGGGTTTGATCCTCAGCACCACATAAAAGTAAATTAAGTGAAGTGGAGGTATTGTGTCCAACTATAACTAAAAAATATTTTTAAAAAACTACAGATGTGGAAGATAGGACTCGGAGCCTTGGGGCTGAGTCTGTATGCAGGACATACAACATTCATTCAGTAATTCAATAGAACTGAATGCCAGGTGCCACAAGAGGTGAGGAGTCAGCAGTGAACTAAAGTCCATCATTCCAGAGAATTGGCATCTGTCAGATGATGACAAAACAGAAAGAAAGGTGGATTCCTGTAACAGTCACATGACCTAAAGCATAGTCAATGACACAAGCGAAGCAAATGGACTGGGGACAGAGAGCAGAGCTGGCTGGTGGGTCAGAGAAGATGTACTTGAGGTGCTTGAGATGGGCCCTAAGGAGGGCAGGAGCTGCCCAGGCAAGCAAGGGGAGGGCATCTAGATGAGTGACCAGTGCTTAGTGCACTGAGCAAGCACTCAGGGAAGGACAGCTGTGACTTCTGGCCCAGTTCTTCAGGAACCCAGGGCACAAGTTGCTGTGAAAGATGAGTCTGCCACACCAAATGGACGTCAGATTTCAATGGGACAGCCAACACACTTAGACTTCACCCCTCCAGAGGCTGTCAGGAGATGACTGACCTGCTCGTGAAAGGACAAAGAAGGACTGCGGGGGAGTGGGCAAGGGTTGGCCAGTGGGTCTGGGGCAGCAGGTAATGATCCATCCTCACACGGAGCAGTGACAGCGGGTTGGAGAGAAGTGCCAGATGCTGGAGCATTAGGGGGACAGAAAGTTGGCCTGGGTGGTGTGGAAGTAGGGGTGTGGTGGGGTTATGCTGTGCACTGAGACAACAGTCAAAAGGGGCTGTATGCAAGCAGGACTGGGAGGGAATGGAGCCCTGGAGCTGGGAGTGAAGTTGCTGTGGGGAGATCCAAGGTCCACACAGACGGGTAGTGTCTTGGGAATGGACAAGAGCCGCTGAGAATGAGGCAAGGCAGAGCCTGGGGAATGCTTGGATAGGTGGAGCAGAGGGAAAGCAGAGACCCTGGGGCATGGCACAGAGCCAGAGGCCTTCAGAAGACATTGGTGGGAGGTGAAGATACCCAGAGACACCCTGGGATATACAGGAGGGAAGGGAAAGGTAAAGAAGCGAAGCAAGGACTGGGGTTGTGGCTCAGTGGTAGCGCACTTGTCTAGCATGTGTGACGCACTGGGTTTGATTCTCAGCACCGCAAACAAATAAATAAAGGTCCATCAATCTCTAAAGATTTTATTTTTTTTTTTAAAGCGAAGCAAATGGACTGGGGACAGAGAGCAGAGCCCATTCATAAAAACGAAATTTCAAAGACAATGTTGAGTGAAGGAGGCCAGACCTCATAAAATTATAGACTACAGTTAATTTCATTTATATGAAGTTGAAAACTAGTAAAATCATTTGTGATGAGAAAAATAGAACATGCACAGGGGCTGGGGCTGTAGCTCGGTGGTAGAGTCAGAGAAGGATTTGCATGAGGGAGGAGATCATTGACTTGGGGAGGCACAGGGTGCCTTGCAGGTGCCAGGAGGTTCCGTGTCTTGATGGAAGTGGCAGGTTCATAACTCAGGCAGGCGGAGAAGCTCGTCCTAAGGACCTGTGATTACTGCCTGCCTTTAAACCTCAGCAGTCACAGCCAGAAGTCCTCAAGGCAGTGGACTGGAGCCACATGGGCGAAATTCTTCCTTCTTGCTCTAGTAAGGGGAGGAAGGAGACCTGTTTCTGCAGACTCTGTTTTAGAGAGAAGCAAAGAGGAATATGCTCACGTCCTGTTTACCCTGCAAAGTCTGGAAGTAGGCACAATGGGACTACACATTTGTCCTTGGCTGAAGGTTTTTGTTTTGTCCTTCCCCGACCCCTGGTTCTGGGGTTGAACCCAGAGACACTCTGGGTTCATTAAACTACATCCCAATCCTTAATTTCCTTGTGAAACAGGGTCTCCCTAATTTACCCAGGTTGCCCTCGAACTTGCCATGCTCCTGCTTCAGCCTCCCGAGTCCCTGGGATTACGGCTGTGCACCTTGGCCCACCGTGCGTGCGTGTGTGTGCGCGCGTGTTAAGGAATATTAGACTTACAGTTTTAAAGAAAATACTAGAGTGAAAACTCTGCCCGGCTGCCATCCACGCACCCTGTTGGTAACGTGACAGGTGTGCACAGTACACGGGATCCTGTTGTGGCTGGATCGGTGCGTTCTCACGACGGACTCCGTGTCCCTGCCTCGTGTCTGTTCTCTTTCACTTCCCGCACTACCTTCTCCTAAAATTCTTGATTTTTGCATCAGTTCTTTAGAGGTACACAAAAATGGTCAGGAAATGCCACCGCCCTCGGTCTTCCCGCATCTACGGTCAGGTTTTCCAGGCGACTTCAAGGCGGCCCCCAGGCTCCGAGGAGCGCCCGCGGCTGGGCCGGAGCGTGGCGATGGCCCAGCCCGGTGCGGTCCCTTCGCCTCCCGCAGCTCCGGGCCGGCCCGACTGCGACCTGCCCGGCCAAGCAAGGTCGCACTGCACATCAGAGGAGAGGCAGGCCGCACGTGCCGCAGGCCCCAGTGGCCTAATGGATAAGGCACTGGCCTCCTAAGCCAGGGATTGTGGGTTCGAGTCCCACCTGGGGTAGTGCTCTTCATTTTTAGCTTTCCCCAAGCTCCAAATGGAGCCCTGCCTGTTCCTCCACACCGGCGAGGGGTGGCCGAGCGAGTTGGCCGCACACCTTCTTCCCGGGTAGAAAAGTCCCCAGATGGAGGCCGTGGAGTGTTGAGGCTCCCGACCCTGGGGCAGCTAGAAATGAATAAACGCACTCCTACTGCGGGCCTCGGGTTGCGGGAGAGGAGTCGGGCGCCGCGCAGAGGCGGGCACAGCCCTCGCACTTAGACGTTCCTGAGAGGGATCCCCGATGCCACCCACGAGGGCCTTATCCATTCGGCCACTGGGGCAGGACAAGAAGGCGCCACAGCGCCTCCAGGCGCACGTGCCCAGACTGAGTGCCGGACAGCAGCACTAGCAGCACAATCTCCGCCAGGACAAACGGAACAGAAGTCTGTAGGGCAGTGAGCAACCCGCGGCGCTCGCCCAAAATGAAGCTGACCACGAAGGGACTCGAACCCTCAATCTTCTGATCCGAAGTCAGACGCCTTATCCATTAGGCCACGTGGTCAAGACGCCCAAGGAGGCGGGGAGACAGATCCAGGTGCCACCCCTAGGAGGTGGTAGTGCAGTGACTCCTGCAGGAACCGTCGCAGTTGTCACAGTGAGAATCGCAGGCACCATGAATCCACAGGTGCGCTGGTAGCGCTGCGTCTCATTGTCACCAAATATATTTTCTAGCAGAAGCGATAATGGGAGAAGACCGCGTGGCCTAATGGATAAGGCGTCTGACTTCGGATCAGAAGATTGAGGGTTCGAGTCCCTTCGTGGTCGTAAACGTTTTAAACCCGATGGTTTTAACCCTCATTTTAGGTAAGAAAGGCCTCTGTGCTCCTCTCAACCATTCTCCGTGAGTATGGTCAGCTTTTGCGTTTGGAATCTTCTGGGTTTGACGTCATGACGCAGCCCGCAGCGTCACAGTTTAAGAGGCATGTGACCGGGCGCCGTTTGCGTGAAGCCCCAGTGGCCTAATGGATAAGGCACTGGCCTCCTAAGCCAGGGATTGTGGGTTCGAGTCCCATCTGGGGTGAAGTCCTTTGGATTTTTAAAGGAATCCAATTAAATTTAATATTCTAACACATACGTTTTGTCTTTTTGTTAAAAAGGTACTTAGCTGTTTTTTCATTTCTGTGTTGCAACTCATTTTCCTTTTCTTCTTGAGGAGGCCCTACTAGGAGATGTGAGTCAGCGGGAGCGCAAGTGGCACCAGCACGAGCTCAATGTCAACGTCTCGGGAAAGCGCCCCGCAGAATGCAAGCCCCAGCAAACGTCGCTGAGCGAGGTGTCCAAGCCCGTCACCGTAAAACTCAACAGCGGGCAGCGCTCCAGCCCCAGGGGCAGGTCGGACGCCCGTCGCCCGCTGCGCCCCGACGCCCGGGCTGCGAGGACGCAGGCGTGCGCCAGGCACCTGCGGAGCGCGTCCCGGGGTCGGCCCGGAGGGCGGGAAAAGCCGGCCCGCTGCTCGAGCCGGGGACCCCCGGCGCCGGGACGCCCCGGGCGGAGCCAGTGCAGGGCGAGCCCCAGGGGAAGGGGCAGGGAGGAAGAGGCCTGGAACCAGGGCCGGGTTGGGCCGAGAGGTGCGGAGAGCCCTCCGCGACCCCGGTCTTGCGCGCAGGGAGGGAGTCAGGGGTGGAGGCCGACCTCGCCGCCTTACCTCTGCCCGCGCCGGGCGGAGCGCGGGGGCCGCGGAGACCTGAGCAGCCGGGGCCCGGCGCCGAGCGGGGGCGGCGCAGGGTCGGTGCCTGCGACACCCGGAGCCCCGAGAACACCCCGGCGACGCGGCTACGGGACGAGCGACGCGGGGGAGGGGAGGAAGGCGTTGGGGGCGGAGTAGGAGAGACCAATCTGCTGTCAGAAGGCCAAATGGCGTTTCCTGCACGTCGCTTCGGCCCAGGGGGTCAGGGAGCCGGCAGAGGTGGGCTTTGTTTTTTAAATCTAATCAGTTATACCTGGCAGCAGATGCATTTCACGTAGTGCACACATAGAGCACGACTTTTCATGTCTCTGGCTGTGCACAGAAGGTCTGCTTGTTATCTGAACAGGTGCGTTCCCCTTGTGAAAGGCCAGAGATGTGCCTTTTCCAGGTGGGACACTTCACACTACGTGCTCCCTTCACCAGGGCCATCCAGAATTCTTCCTGTTCTCTCCACCCCAAAGGGGTCACCAAAGTTCGGTGGATGCCAGTTTAAACTACCTGTGGCTTCCAAGCTTGCCATTTGATGACAGCAGCACGTCCTATCCTTGACTAGGGTAGCCACTACTTCTTGGCTGAGCTTTGGATGTAGTTGCCCCCAAACCATCTTCCAGGCTGGGCGTGGTGTTGCACACCTGTAATCCCAGGGGCTCTGGAGGAGGATCCAAAGTCCAAAGCCAGCCTCAGCAGTTTAGCAAAGTAATTAACTTAGCGAGACCCCGTTTCAAAATTAAAAACAACAACAAAAAAATGTTTTAAAGGAATAGGAATGTGGTTCCATGGTTAAGCGCTCCTGGGTTCATCCCTGGTACATCATCATCACCTTCATCATCATCTCTTCTTCTTCCTCCTTCTCCTCCTCCTTTAAACCAGATAATTTCAAAGTAAAGAGGTGATGGTCTTGGTAGCACAGGTCTGTAGTCCCAGCTACCAAAGAACTTGAGGCTGGAGGATCACAAGTGTGAGCCAGCCTGGGCAACTAAGTGAGCACTCTTTCAAAGCATTAAAGCCAGTCTCTGTGGCATAGGCTTGTAATCTCAACGACTCCAGAGGCTGAGGCAGGAAAATCAAAGGTTCCAGACCAGCCTCAGCAACTTAGTGACAATCCCCAGTACCAAAACTAAATCAAATAAAAAGGACAATGAATCTCTGGCATTATGTATAATTATAATGCACCAAAAACAAACACAGGAAAAAACTGAAAACCAATAAAATAAATAAAAGGGGCTGTGGATGTAGCTCAGAGGTAGAGAGCCCATTTTGTCCAGCTCTAAATTATGGGGAGGAATTAGGCACATGAAAAGGAGAGGCTGCTGTGCAGAGGACAGCGAAAAGTGTCACAACCCTGTCACCTTCAGATGACTCCTTCAGGGGCTGAAACCCCATTTTCTCATAGTAAATGATGCTTCATAAGATAAGTAATGAGTTTTTTTGAGGGAGGGGGGTGCTGAATTAGGGAATGGAACCCAGCACCTAGCACAAGCTGGGCAAGCAGTGTGCCACTGAGCTATGGCAAATATTAAGGTTCTTCTAAAAGCAGAGCGTAGTGCTAGGCCCTGGGAAATACAAATCATAGTACTAGTACTCACAAGGAATGTTCTGGAACCCTCAAGTTCTTTCTAATATTCTAGCATGAGCAGGAATTACCAATGCCTGGTGTTATAGGGGGAGTGGGAGGTGTGATTACAACTTGCCGTGGCTGGTGGACAATAGCGCGGAGGGGGCCCAAGAATCTTCGCTGGGCAGAGATGGGGGGGGGGGGGGGCATACTTAGTCCTGTGACAGTAGGAGGCCAGTGGGTGGTTTTAAGTAGATAAGTTTTAAGTATTTTTCTATAATCAAAATAAAGTTTTTATTTAATGACATATCATGAATTTGTTCATTGTTTTCATATGAAATGTTTGTATTTTTATTTTACAAACATTCTGTAGTTACAAACTTGATTTCTCATTGATTCATGGTTTAGGAGAGAAAAGTTTAATTTCTAAGAGCCTGAGTTTTTAAAATTGTTTTGTTACTGTCTTTCATTCTGTGGCTATTAATTATTGATTTTCTGTAATATTTGCACTGGGATCAGTCAATATTACCTATAATTTGTGATTTTTTTCAAAACTTGAGGCTTCTTCATCTCATATTATCAATTCCTGTAGTTATCCTGTTTGAATGATATAAAGTCTAGTAAATGAGCTGTTAGATTCTCCCTTTTATAACAGTCTGCCGTAATCTCGTTTGTTTTGCAAATATGTCATGCTAAAATCATTACAACAGATGCTTCAGCAATTTCTTTTTAACTCTTTTCAGCTTTATATATATTTAATGCTATTTTTTCACTACTTAAAAGTTTCTAACAGTTTCTTTCAGTAAATGCCTTCCTTTATTATTGAATACCATTTGAAAAATTAAATTTGCTTTCCAGTTCTGGGGCTTTCCAGTTTCTGAACCCAGGAGTGCTCTACCAGCATACATACTATATCCTCATCCTTTTTATTATTATTATTATTATTTTATTTTGAGAAAGGGTCTCACATGTTTTTGTCTTGAATTCAACTTTGCTAGATAGTGATGACTCCACATTTTTGTCCCTCCTTTACAAACTGCTTATTGTAAAAGTATTCAGATATACACAAAAGTATAACAGTAAATGAATCTTCCCATCCCCATCACCCGGACTCATCCGTTATCAAGATTATTTTGCACTTATTCCCTTTTCTCTCTCTTTTCTGTTCTTTTTCTAGAGTATTTTAAAGCAAACCCCAGACATCATTTCAGTTCATCCCCACATATGCCAACATGGGTGTTCCCTTGGAAAACCACAGTGTGAGCATGTGTTTATTTTTGCAGTGCTGGAGATGGAATCCAGGGCCTTTTGCCTGCCTGGCAAACATTCTACTCCTCCACCACCACAATGCCGTTATTGTACTCACAAAAATAATTGTGATTCCTTGGTATGCTTTAATACCCAGGCCGTATTCAAATGGCTCCCATTGTCTCAAAGATACCTTCTAACAGTTAATTGGTACAAATGAGGGTCCAAGTGAGGCTGACAAGCATTTTGACGTTAGTCTTCTCAATTCTTTTAACCTAATGCTGCCTTCCCTTCCAGACACCACCGACTTATGGAAAACAAAAGGGTTCCTACAGAATGCCTCCCATTTTAGATTTACTTTTTTGTTGTTGTTCCAGGGGTGCTTAACCACTGAGCCAAATCCCGAGCCCCCCCCCCCCCCTTTTTTCTGTGTTTTATTGAGAGACAGGGTTTCACTAAGTTGCTTAGGGCCTCGCTAAGTTGCTGAGGCTGACTTTGAACTCACCATCCTCCTGCCTCAGCCTCCTGAGCCACTGGGATTGCAGGCGTGCACCACTATGCCCAGCTCTCTTCATATCTTCATGGTGTTATTTATCTGTTTCACTCTCAGCTATTTCTAAACTGGAAGTTAGTTTTAAAGACTTCAATAAATTCAAATGCAATTTTTGGCAAAAATTTTTTCAAAGGATGCTGTGTATTTAACAACTTGTGGGAAAGACACACAATGCCTGTTCATCTTTTTGGTCTTAAGAGGTGACAACCTGATCTGTCATTGCCAAGTTACCAATCAACCTTTCACATAGTGGTTTCATCCACTGATAGAATCTGCCTGAATAACCTATTACATTAGTGATTTCAAAATAATCTTCTTCCAATATAATCTTTTTCCACATTTATTGGCTAGAATACTTTGTAAAGAGCTTTTCTTCATCACTTTGAGCTATTTGTATACCCTGAAGTACAGTTGCTTGAGGAAGGATAAAGGCTTAATTTTTTTTTTTTTTTTCCCTTCATTGCCAGTTTGTTTTTGGATATTGGGGATTGAACTCATGAGTACTCAACCATGAGCCACATCCCCAGCCCTATTTTGTATTTTACTTAGAAACAGGGTCTCACTGAGTTGCTTAGGGCCTGCTAAGTTGCTGAGACTGGCTTTGAACTTTCAACTCTCCTGTCTCAGCCTTCCCAATCGTTGGGATAACAGGCATGCACCATTATGCCCAGCTTCAACGCCAGTTTTAGAGTAGTGAATCAGTTTCCCCAATAACTACTCAACCTACCCAAAGATGGACAGCTTGTACTTGCATTTTGGGTTGCTCTAACTCAAATTTTGCTTCCCATGGGGGTGGGGGTGGGGTGTCTTTGATGACTTTTTTTTTTTTTTAATATTTTTTAGTTGTAGATGGACACAATATCTTTGTTTTTATTTTTATGTGGTGCTGGGGATTGAACCCAGTGCCTCACACATGCTAGGCAAGTGTTCTACCACTGAGCCACAACCTCAGCCCCGTCTTTGATGATTTTTCGTTGTCATAATTATGCATTTTTAACTATATAACTTTGCTATATATATAGTATATGTGTGTGTGTGTGTATCTGTCTTTCTATCTATATAAACTTCCTCCCCTAGTGATTTGCAAAGCAAATCCTATTCTGCTAATGACTTATTTTTCAAATGTAAGATTAGGGGCCGGGAATATTGCTCAGTGGCAGAGCATGAGTATACCATATATGAGGTCTTAGGTTTGATCCCCAGCAACAAAAACATAAAAAATTAGGGGCTCGGGATATAGTGCAGTTGGTAGAGTGCTTGCCTTGCATGCACAAGGCCCCGGATCAATCCCCAGTACCAAAAAAAAAAAAAAAAAAAAAAAAATTAATGCATATGCAATGCAAAACTGTCAGCCTAAGAGGGCTTAAGAGAAAAAATGAAAGTGACCCCTACCCACCCAGATGCCTTTGAGGGTCTGAACACTGTTGTTCACTGTTACAGGAAATCCTCCAAAGGGCTCCCTCAAAGCAGCTTACCTCCCTTCATGTTACAATACTCAACAGCACTCACGTGGGTGTTTTCTCTAATTACCAAGTTTTTAACTATGCCCTAAATTTTTTCTTTCTTTAATTTCTCCATGTTTTCACTTGGCTGTTGTCTGAATCCCTAAATCTTCAGCTGGATGCCTGGGTGCCAGCTGAGCGATTCAAAGGCCTGGAGGCAGGGGTGTGACTATGACACAAGCAACTCTAGGTGGACTAGACCCTGCCCAAATACCCCTACAAATCAGGAGAGTGGCACCAGACTCCTCTGCTCACATACACTGGACATAAACTTCCTGAGAGCTGTTAGCTGTTGGTGCTCTTCTCTAATGAAGTCCATCTGCAGCATCTGCAAGAATGTCACAAGGTTTCTGATATTTAATTTTGATGTTTGTAAATAAGAAAACTAAAGTCCCAGGACAGTAAACAATAAGTCTACAATCAACAATTAAGTGGCAGGCATAACAGGTCCTTTGACAACAGGGCAACTCTTTCCATTACCTCATCTATTTTGCAACAGGGTCTCACCATGTTGGCTTCTACCTGTGTTCAAGAGTCCTCCTACCTCAGCCTCATAGGATTTTTTTTTGCCGAGGATCTCTATCAGTTAATAGAATTTTCAAAGTTAACTTCAAATACCAAAAATTGCAAGTTAACGTTGTAACAAAGTTTCCTTTTCTACCACTTCTGTGCCTAAAAGTTGCCACAGAAGTCAGTCCCTGCAGTTACACCTGCAATTTGGACCTGCTGTTGATTTACTGAAGACAAGCCAAAGGTGGCACTTCTTGTGGTTTGAAAGCAAAGATGAAGTTCCAGAGCCTCAGTGGACAACTCCTCCCTATCATATCCCAGGGAAACACACTTTGTTAAAATTTTAGCAGCCCTAAGGCCTCAGTAATTGACTCCTACACAGTTTGAATTTAGATGACTGGCCTGACACATTTGGGCTCACCTTTCCACACCTAAGAGGGAGGTTTAAATGTCTCAAACACAGAGAAGATGACACACTCAGAACTATATAATTAATATTTTTAATGTGCAGAGTTTGTAATACAAGGGCAGAGATTCCTCCTGGATTCAAGTTTTATAAATTCTCAATGGGCTGGTGAGGCCAATAGGGATACTTCTTCTTGTCTAATTTGGTTTCTGGGAAGACTTCATTTAAGTCCTCAATGGTCATCTGATCAAATGGAATAATGTTCTTCATTTTCTCCAGCTGGAAAGAGCAGAAATGTGTTAGGGGAAATAGGGCTACAAAATGCAAAACAAGAATTTAAGAAAGATATAAAATATACCAAAGACAAAGCCTGTGGTTCATCCTTACCTGTTTCTCATATTCTTCAATCCTGGCCTTTGAGAGAGACACAAACTCAGCACAACTTTTTACCTTTAAGAGAACCAACAGATTCTGTTGTGAAACCAGGTTGTAACCTGACCCTGAAGCTCCCAAGGTATGGGAAGTCCCCAGGCTGCTCTTGCTCTCCTGCCCTGTGGAGATGTAGCTGCCTGCCTACTGAGAGCTAAACTACAGCTTTTGCTAACACCCACAAAGCAGCCCAAGTACAAAAACAGGTTAGTATGGCCTGTTTCATAAGGGCTGGGCACTGAATAGCCAGGACAAGACACCTGACCACCAAGCCAGACTTCTCTTTGGGGGAATCATCAGGTCCCAATGTTTCAGTTATGTATCTGAACACCTGGATAATTTTTCTACCTAATTTCAATACCTTGCCTTTGACAGCTCTGTTGAGGTATAACTGACATATAATAAGGTGCACATATTTAAAGAGCACCATTTGATGTAGGTATCTACCTGTGAAATCATCACCATGCTCGAAACAGTGAGCATATGTATTACCCTTCTCCTTCCCATCCCTAGGCAATCATTGATGTACCTTCTGTCACTATAGATTAGTAGAGATTTACACAAATAGAATCATATGGTATTTGCATTTTTTTCTTGCTGCTTTTTTAACTGAGCATAGTAATTATTGTTATTTGACACTAGGAACTAAACTTAGTTAGGGACACTCTACCACTACACTTCATTGCCAGTCCTTTTTGTATTTTGAGACAGGGCCTCAGTAAGTTGCTGAGGCTGCCCTTGAACTTGCAGCCCTCCTGTCCTAGCCTCCCCAGTCATTGGGATTACAGGCATGTGCCACCACCCTTGCCTTTCGGCATAATTATTTTGATATTACTCCATGTTGTAGTATTTATTAACAGTTCATTCCTTTTTATTACTGTTAACACTTTTTTTTTTTTGGTATCAAAGATTGAACTCAGGGGCACTCAACCACTGAGCCACATCCCCAGACCTATTTTCTGTATTTTATTTAGAGACAGGGTCTCACTGAGTTGTTTAGTGCCTTGCTTTTGGTGAGGCTGGCTTTGAACTCATGATCCTCCTGTCTCAGCCTCCAGAGCCACTGGGATTACAGGTGTGCACCACCATGCCCAGCAACACCTTAATTTTCAATTTAGTTTGTTCTACCTTTTACTAGCTGCTAAGTAATATATAGCTGTCCTAGTAATCCAGCTCAAAACTTTTACATGTGTCCTATACAGGAGATGCTGGGGCACAATGGGTTAAGAAACTTAGAATAGGGCTGGGGTTGTGGCTCAGTGGTAAAGCACTCGCCTAGCATGTGTGAGACCCTGGGTTTGATCCTCAGCACTACATAAAAATAAATAAATAAAGGTATTGTGTCCAACTAATATATGAATGAAAAAAAAAAAAAGAAACTTAGAATAAAGAACATCGATTACTCACATCTTCCTTTTCTTCAGCATCCACCTGTGCAGTATATTTATCCTCTGGCAAAGGAATCTTCAGGGCATTAAACTATAAATAGGGACAGTGAGTTGGCAGCAATATACCCAGAAGCCCAAAGAAAGGGCTCAAAGTTATTCCTTAAAGATCATATTAAAGCATATTCTCCACCCCAAGAAGAAACCAATATGCATTTCAGATGTTGTAGTAGAGAGAATATTTTACTGGGAAGAGGAGCTCAAGGATCTTCTCAGCTCCATCACTGACTGACTTAAGACCTTGGATATTTCTTTATAACAATGAAATTCAGTTTCCTCATCTGGAAAGGACAGCTGTACTTAACAAGAAAAATAGCCTCACATTCTGAAGAAGTCCTGAATTGTCTTTGACACGAAACCCCAGAGATCTTATCAGCAGAAGTAATGATATATGATGGAGATAAAAATGGTGTTTAGAAGACTGCTTGATGTTATAGCCCAGCACTTAACACTACCCTCAAGTGGAGAAGCAAATGAACTTTGGATATTGAGACTTAATGTGTAAATATCATGAGAGGACAGATAAATAAGAAATTACAGCTCTAAGGGATAATAAAAAAGAGCAGAGAAAAAGGAGGGAAACAGTAAAAGGGCAGAAAAGATGTTGGTCTGTATCAAAAGGAGATAGCGGGAAGCTAAAATGGAACTTAGGCAGAGTTAGAAAGAAACTCTAACAGTTGTCTGGCTCCAGGCAGCAAGGCCATAGTGTTCCTTTGACTGAACACTCAAAAATCCTACCACTGCAAGGGCTTTGGCCACACCCATCTTTCCTAAAACTCCTTTGGGATCTGAGTGCTAACATCACCCTTCTTCCCCTACTGTCATATGGCATATTTGCCTTATCTACCCTGTCATCTTCCATATGTATATGTACCTTCCTACTCCCCATTCACAAGCCACTTAACAAGATCAGGGCTTTAGTTATCTGAAGTCTCACCTTCTTTTCAAAGTCATCCACCAAGCCCGCCTTGGCAACATTTGCCTTGTAGTAAGCCCAGTCGATAGCTGGTGGTTTCTCAGGCAGAGTAGCCAACCTGCTCACATGCAAATGCAAAAGTCAGGTTTGTTCCATGAGAAACAGAATATTCACACAGTAATTTCCCTATTCTTTACTCCTGTGGTATAGGGTGTCATCAACTTTTCTCTTTTGTCATCACAATGATGCCCCAAAATACTTTCATTTGGAAAATGCATGGATTTCTTTATTCTTTTGTTTGAAGAGTATCAAAAATTCATATGCAATCCCAAAACATTGTTTCTAGATTCAGTGGAAAGTAGGGGGTTCCCTCTCAGGAACATACTGACCTGGAGGAGAGGGTCTCATTCCAGGACTTCAGGGAGTTAGCAATAGCCTTCTGGTTTCGGGGAATGATCTCCCCAAAAGCTACCCAGTCAATGGTTTTTAGAGCAAGTTTGCGCCCAGCCATCTTGGGATCCTGGAAGATAGGTTAGATCAAAACAGTGATCCTGGAGTGAATCCTCTGAAGAAGGGCATTTTAGAAACATGCAAGTTTTTAAAATAGATCAGCATCCTTTTAGTGCTTGGTGGGTTTATTTTATCAATTAAAGGAATGAGTTTTAATAAAATCAAGAAAGGGCGGTTTACTTTTTCAAATTAACCATACAACCCAGCATATAAATGTGTTCTCTTCCACTAGATTGTCCTTCTGTATTCCCCCAACTCCTATTCATCCTTAAAAGCCCAGCTCCCAGTCAGGAGTAGGGATGCACACCTGTAATCCCAGTCACTCAGGAGGCTGAGGCAGGAGGACCACAAGTTCCAGATCAGCCTGGGCAACTTAGGAGACCCTGTCTCAGAATAAAATTAAAGGCACTAAGGATGTAGCTCAGTGGTAGAACACTTACTTAGCCTGCACATAACCTGAGTTCAATCCCCACTGCCAACAAAAAAAAAAACAATCAAGATGCACATCATCTTGCAGTATGATCTTATGCCCCACCTGATTGGTCACAGACCTGCACCCTTCTGATTAATATCTAATTATCCACCACTGCACTCTTACATGCCCTGCATTTTAAGAGGCATTCCATACAGAGATGAATATGAGAGAAAATAAAAATTGGCTGCAGCTGTCTTACACCAAGGCCATACAGGAAAACTTAATTCAATTAAATTAAGATCAGGGTCAGAAATTAGAAGTCTGTAAAGTCAAAGTTCTCTACAAGCTATGGAGTGGATTCAAAAAAGGTGAAGAAAGCTTCCTCAGGATCTTAAAAAGAAAGTTGTTAAAACACCTGACTCTCCAGGCATGGTGGTGCATGCCTGTATTCACATTGGCTTGGGAGGCTGAGGGAGAAGGATCAGAAGTTCACAGCCTCAGCAATTTAAGGAGGCCCTAGGCAAATCAGAGAGACCCTGTCTCAACATATAAAAAGGGTTGGGGAGATGGCTTGTAGCTAAGTACCACCGGGTCCAATACCTGGTACCAAAACAAACAAACAACACCTCTCTTCCTTCTCCTCCCATAAGGGTTAGGGTTAAGACTGTTAGGAAACTAAGGTGCCAGACAATCAATGTTTTTACAGAGGTTCTTCCAAGCACCTGAAGATAGAGTTAAATGAAAAGGGCTTTTCCCCTTTCGTTTATAGCTTACTCCCCAGCGCCTAGAACAGGTCACAAGTATAGGAAGTGCTCAATGAATACTCGTTCAACGGGTAAATGAACCCTGGAGCTTAGAAGTCCTGAACGCTGCACAAACTGGAATCCTGGAACGCTCCAGATGCAGGGGAAGGCACAGCCCCGCAGCCTGCTAAATGTCCCTCAGCATTAACTCTGTAGAGTGTGTCCCTGCCTCACAACCACAAGACCGAGATCGCCGCGCTGGGAGCAGAAGACTGTGCCAGACAGTTTGTGGCAGCGCCTACACTAGCGGCGGCCGGGTGACAGCTAGGGCCCGCGACCTCGCGCGTGGGGTGGAGTGAAGAAGGGAATGCGGGGCAAAGCGCAGCTACACCCCGGGCACTCTGCCAGCGGGACACCCCGGGAGCTCGGCGTCCTCGGCGGGGTGCAACAAGGAAAACGCGAGATCGGGAAGACGCCAAGCAGAAGAACTCTGCGGGGTTTGCACTTAACGCCCCGAACCCCACTCACCTTCACCGACCCCAGGAGAGCGTAGTCCTCAGCAGCAAGTAACGGAAGTCGGTCACCGGAAGACCTCCCCTCATCCAATCCCAAAGACAAAGGGGCGGTCCTCACTTCACATGTCAGCCAATAGAGACGGAGCTGGTTTAGGAAGTCCCGCCCCCGGGGGCGGGCGCGGCGCCTGCGCCGCCAGGGTCCCCGCTAGTTAGGGGCACTCCCGTCCCTCTCCCCCTGCCCCACCCCCGCCGATGGGCCGGCCCGGCTCTCCCTGCCGAGAAATGGGCCGGTCCGGTGGCGCGCGGGCAGCGGCGGCGGCGGCGGTGGCGGCCCAAGATGGCGGAGCTGCAGCTGGACCCGGCGATGGCAGGGCTGGGAGGGGGTGGCGGGAGCGGGGCGGGCGACGGCGGCGGCCCGGGCCGTGGGCCCCCCAGTCCTCGGCCGGCTGGTCCCACGCCCCGCGGACACGCCCGCCTGCCCGCCGCCGTCGCGCAACCGCTGGACCCAGGTCCTGGACCGCCCGAGCGGGCAGGGGGCGGCGGCGCGGCCCGCTGGGTCCGGCTGAACGTGGGCGGCACCTACTTCGTGACCACCAGGCAGACTCTAGGCCGGGAGCCCAAGTCTTTCCTCTGCCGCCTCTGCTGCCAGGAGGACCCGGAGCTGGACTCGGACAAGGTGCGCCCCGCCCTCGGGCGCGCCCCCGGGCCTGTGGACTCCCTGGCTTCCAGTCGGTCTCCCCAGTCCTGCCCGCGCAGGCTCCTCACAGGCAGGGCGCTCAGACCGGGGCCCCTTCCCCCTTCCCGCCCCCTGGGCCACCCGGGGCCTCAGGAGGACGCGCCATTCCCGCATCCTCAGGCACACCCCGGTTCTCTGCGACCCCGCCCTTGGTTCTCAGCAGCGCTTCCCCACGCTGCCCACCCGCACCCAAAAGCCGGCTCCACACCAGCTTCCCTGTCCTCCCAGCCTCTCGAGTTTTTCCCTGGCTGCCTTTCCGCCCCTCACTGCTGATGCCAAATACGTCCAGAATTGGGTCAGGGCAAGCGAAGGGAGCTCTGTAGCTCTCCCACACTTCGTGCCGGACCCCCGTGCCAAGCCGGGTTAAAGCCTGGGCCTGACAATGGCTTCCATCGCTCCAGGAAGTCCCTCTTGTTATATTACTCTGTTTTCCTAAAGTCCTGGTCCCAGAACTTGTACCTGGTTACGGTTGCTGTTTAGGTCCCTGAGATCCAGTGCAAATCAAGGTTGACTCGGTTAAGACAGTAAAAATGAAGACCCAGAAATACTGCTAGACAAGATGCATGGCTGCTAACCAAAGGGTTGAGAGGTTATGAGACACTTCCTTTTCCAGTTTGAACTGTTTGAATCAATGTTTTTAACTTTTACAGATTCACCTTTAATTCCCAACTTAGAGCCACTGACAATAACTTACATCACTTTATATCCTACACAGCACTCAGCCAGTTAACTTGTAACAGAATTGGGATTGCGTAAACGTTCATTTGTTTCATTTTTCATTTCATTTCCTAATAAATCTCAGGTTGATGGAAACCCATTCTGCCCTAACTTTAAAAAAAAAATTCCAAAACACTTGTTTATGTGGAATTATTTTTATATACCCTGAGTCTTCCTTATGGCTGTATAAACCAGTTTCATCTTGTTCCTTTTACTGTAAAGATGAGTAGGATTAAAGCTGCTTGGAGCCAAGTCCTGGCAATACCACGCTTCCTCTGGGCACAGATCTCTGGGTGTGTGAGATTACAGCTGGCAATGCAGAGACTCCCACTGGTGTTGGCCTGGAGCTCAGGAGTGTGGCCAGCTGAGCAGAGGTTTTCTTAGAATCAGGAATGTGAATTGGGGGCAATGGAGAATGAGACTGTCCATCTCAAACAAAGATTTAAATCATGCAGCCTTAGCATTTTCTTCCTCCCTTTTAAATAATATACCACTGAAGAATGTTGGTAATTGTCCAAGCAAAGATTGTAGAAGTTCAAACCAGTAAATAAACACCTAGATGATGGCTATGACTGTGCATCTCTGACACCTGACCTGAAATAATCTTAAAACACAAGATGCATGAAGCCAGCCTACTTGCCAATAGTTTATAATAAGCAAATGTCTAACAAAATTTGTCCTCGTTAAATTTTTTTTATATTTATTTTTTAGTAGTTGTATGACACAATACAACTACTAAACACAATACAATACAATTTTATTTTTATGTGATGCTAAGGATCGAACCCAGGGCCTGTCATGTGCTAGGCAAGAGCTCTACTGCTGAACCCACAACCCCAGCTCCTTGCTACATTTTTTTTTTTTTAGCTGAAGAACTGAATTGTCTTAGGGCACTGACAAAGAGAAGGAGCCCTCTCAATTTAAAAATGTTACTGAAAGTTCCAGTGATATCCTTGTGCTTGGTTGGCAGGATGAAACAGGAGCCTATCTGATTGACAGAGACCCCACTTACTTTGGTCCTATCCTAAACTACCTCCGCCATGGGAAACTCATCATTACCAAGGAGTTGGCAGAAGAAGGTAAGAGCTCTGTTTACACTGAATTTTTCAAAATTCAGGTCAGTGAAGGCTGTTAGAGACTTGAGTTTTGTTTGAGGTTTTTGTGGGGCTCATATACAGGTGTACAGGTTTATGAAAGTGAGCAGGAAGCCTCCAGTTGCCTAGTCTTGTTTGAGAGAATCTTGTTGAAGGAAGCCCCATAGGGCTTTGTTCAGCTTTCTCAGTTAGCTATCAGCTTTGCAGATAGCTTCAGGAATTTTTTTTGAGCCTGCAGAATTGTCACAGTCCTTTTTTACATTTACTTATGAGCTAGAAGTGAATGTCCATAGCCTGAAGCACCACATCTCTAACATTCAATTATTCATATTTTCAATTTTAGTTTGAACTTGCAGCTGTAAAAAAATAATAAAGGTTTGGCCTCATTTTTTTTTTTTTTTTCAAACTCTGGTCTCATGCTTCCCTGTAAATTTTTGAGGCTGACCTAATTCATTCTCCAGTTCATTGTTAGGTATGTTATTGGTTGCCTCATCTTTTTGATTTGTAGAGCATTTAGACTGTAAGTGGGTCTAGCTCTCTTTCTCAAAGGCTTGGCTTGGTCTCACTGGAGGCATTCAACTGAAGTTTAGGTTCCTTTTCTAAATCCAGGGCGCTCTGATGTCGGAGCTGGAGCTCTGAGTAAGAAAGCTTGTAATGGCTATACTCATTAATGAGGTGATGGCAAAACAGTTCTATTTCAGGCAATAAAAAGAGGAGTTGCTCTCTTATAGGGGGAGATTTGGAAACATTCTGGGGTTTTTTTTAAGTGTCCTTCTTTGAAAAACATTTCAAATTCATACAAAAATAATGAGGCTGGGCTTGGTGGCATAAGCCTGTAATCCCAGGAACTCCAGGTGAGGCAGAAGGATCCAAATTCAAGGCCAGTCTCAGCAATTTAGCAAGGCTCTAAGCTATTTGGCGAAACCCGTCTTACAATTTAAAAAATAAAATAAGATAAAAAGCACCTCTGGGTTCAACCCTGGGTACCAAAAAACCAAACAATAAGAAGAAGAAGTAGAATAGTATATTGGGCTGGGGTTGTGGCTCAGTGGTAGAGAGCTCATCTGGCATATGTGAAGCACTGGGTTCATTCCTTAGCACCACATAAAAATAAATAAATAAAGGTATTATGTCCATGTATAACTAAAAAAAAATTTAAAAAATAACATTAAATTCCATGTACCTGCCATCCAACTTCAACAATTACCATCTCCTAATTAACATTTTCTAATGTCTTTAATTAAAAAAAGAAAAAAAAAAACGCAACACTCTTTTGAAATAATTTTGAACTTACAAAAAGGGCAAGAATACTACAAAAAACTCTTTTTACCCAGGTTCACCAATCCGCACTCCCTATACCCCCTGTGCTGGAGATTGAACCCAGGGGCACTCTACCACTGAGCTATATCCCCAGCCCTTTTTATTTATTTATATTATTTTTTTTATAATTCTTTTTTTTTTTTTGAGAGAAAGAGAGAGAAAAAAAAATATGAATCTTTTTTGTAGATGGACACAACACAGTGCCTTTTTTTTTTTTTTTTTTATGTGGTGCTGAGAATCGAACCTGGGTCCTGCCCGTGCTAGGCGAGCGCTCTACCGCTGAGCCACAATCCCAGCCCAGCCCTTTTTATTTTTGATTTTAAAACAGGGTCTCAGTAAGTTGCCCAGGCTGATCTGGAACTTGCAATCCCCCTACCTTAGCCTCCTGGGTCTCTGGGATTATAGGCTGCACCACCAATGCTGGCTACATTCACTGATTTTTAACATTTCTTGTTATATTTATGCTAACATTCATTCTCCCCCTTTCTTCTTTTCATCTTCTCTTCTTTCTCCTCTCCTCCCATAGTTCTAAATTTCTGATTGCAAACTTTACCCCTGAATATTTCTGTGCGTTTTTCCCAAGAACAAGGGATATTCTCATATAACCCTACTTTGAAACTTAGGAAATTTAATGTAGATAAATACTTCTATCTGCAGTTTATATTTCATTTTTACCAACTGTTCTAATAATGGCCATTATAGCAATTTTTTTTTCCTGGTACGGGATCACACATCTGATAGTTTTCCTTTCTAAGGCCTTTGATTTTGTTTCGCATGAGAGTTTTTCAATGATTGCCTTTTATATTATTCAAAATAATAAGCATCCCATTAAATTCAATACACATAGGGTTATACACATCTATCTGCCGGTCCTTTTAAGGGAAAACTGGGTAAAAATTGCAAGCTCAGGAGGTGGCCAATGTGACTAGTTCCAGGAATTAAGTGACATATGGAAGGTATCCTGTAGCTAATGGGCAGGGGCCAAACATAAACAGTGGGGGTGAAACAGTGAGCAAAGCAGTCCCTGGTACTTGACTTGGTTGGGGAAAAGTTTGTGGGTATACCCTAAACATCAAAGAGATATTTCCAAAGCTGAAGGAGAGAGACTGAATTTATATATGACAAATGCAGTTTTTGGCAAGCCTCTAGTTGCTGTTTTCCTGGTGAGCTCAAATATTCCTGACCAGTCTGGTCCTTGTTCTAGGTGTGCTGGAGGAAGCAGAGTTTTACAACATTGCCTCTCTCGTGCGGCTGGTTAAGGAAAGGATACGAGACAACGAGAACAGAACTTCACAAGTAAGGTGTTTTGAACTGTTAAGGGGAAAGTGTCCCCAGTGGCTCTCTGTCTGAGTGTCTGGCTATGACTTGAAAAGGATGGCTTTTCCCTCAGAGCTGGAGTCTGTATAGAACACTGTCCGTCTGCTATGCAGATGGTGCCTACTTGGCCAGGGTTGTTCAGCACAAAAAGAATGAATAATAAAACAGAACAGCCATGTCCCTTGAGAAGAAAATGTCACTGCTCGCCATATGGCCAAGGCCATTTTAGGTCCAAAGCCTGCTTGCTCTCTCTGACCTAAGGTCCATCACTTTGAACATAAAGCCTAAACAAGCTCTTGCTTCTACCTGCTGGCCTGTAAGCATGTCACATCTAGCCCCTGCAAGTCCCTTGAAATCAGCTATGACTCATGCTTCCAAGAAAATGTACTCAAGCTTCTCTCTCTCTCTCTTTTTTTTTTTTAATGTTTTATTGATAGACATTTATTTTATTTATTTATACTTATGTGGTGCTGAGGATTGAACCCAGTGCTTCTCACATGCTAGGCAAGTGCTCTACCACTGAGCCACAACCCCAGCCCTCAAGCCTCTCTTTTTATTAAGATATCTGGATCTTTGTATTTACTCAGTAAATATGGTAACAAATGAAGCAGAATTTCCCACAAGTTTGAGGGAAGGGGAGATAATAGAGCATACTTAACTTGTTATTTCTCATGTCATTCATCATATGTCTGTATGGCCACTCAGGATCTATTAGGTCTTTTGGATTCTGTCCAAAAGAAGGTCCTTGACCCCAAGTCTAGCAGGAGAAACAGACCCTCCCTTTCTTTTGTTTAAGAAAGAACAACTGCAGAATTGCAGAAATGGGGCTGAGTTTTTTTCCACCACAGCCATCTGCTTTGTAGCACGATTGCCTCTTATCCCACCAGCTACTGGTGGTGGATGTTTTATTTAATCTGTTGCAGCCTAGGACTTGTCTGCTGTTAAAAAAGAAGGCAGTCGGTTTCTCTTTAATAGCACTCTGCTCTTTCTGCGTCAGATTTCATGTATCAACATTTTCTGGCTCTAAATGGAATATCTGGATGAAAGCTGGCAGGAGTGACCCAGAAATGAAATAAATCTCTCATCCCCTTTATCTCTGGCTATTTGCAAAGGTAGAAAGAAGACTCATCTGGTCGACTGCTAAAAGGTTCCTTGTTAATGTTCAAAGGTGAATTCGTAGTTGATTTGCAGATGTTCATGTGAGACACAATCTGGTGTCACCAGTCCCTTTGCCATTGTACACGTCTGGTATCTTTTACTACCATAGATATTTAATAGCTTAGACATTTTTGGAAATTAGTTTTATCCTTATTTTTCCACATTCTAAAAAATACTTGATTTCTTAGTAGAAATGTTGATGGTACCATATGAACTACATATTGAATGTTTTCAAATCATGGTGTCTGAACATTCTCTGTTCTTTACCATAAACTAATTCCTTGAGAGCATTATAAGATTTCTGTTTGATGACAGCAACTAAGTTAATTAGTCCCCTAGATCCTAAAGGCTTGTAGATTTATACCCAGTTGGAAGCTTTTTTGTTCTGGGACTGTCAAGATCTTTTTGATGTTAATCTTTCCATCTCTTCTTTTTATTTAGTGAAACGCTGAGAAATGGATTTGATGTTGTTCAAAGACACCCTCTTTTTCCTTTGTGCACATGGTTCTCAGATGAAGTTGGCTGTGTATGGATTTCCAAACATTACCTCCTTTAATTTGTCTGCAGTCCCTCACCTCACACGTGGCAGGCATTCAGCCAAGTCTAAGATGTGGGGATTCTAACCCACCTTTTCTCTTGTGGCCTCTTAGCTTGTTTAGTGGCTGCTACCATTCTAACTGCTTTGCTGTCATTAGTGTTATTTTTGTAGGTGATTAATCTTGGTACTTTTTGGAGCACCCATGGTTTACTTTGGAGGAGGAAAAACAGAGGCACTATAATGCCATATTAAATACTTGGGACTTGGGTAACTGTGCTAATATCACAGATCTTTGGTGATGCTCAGTATTTTTGTAATACAAATCATCTGCCCAGTTGGGTGCAATGGCACACTCCTATAATTCCAGCAGCTTGAGAGGCTGAGATAGGAGGATCATAAGTTTGAGGCCAGCTTCAGCAATTTAGTAAGATCCTATCTCAAAACAAAAAAATATAAAGAACTAGGGAATGGCTGGGCATGGTGGTACATGCCTGTAATCTCTACGTCTCTGGAGGCTGAGACAGGAGGATTGTTGAGGGCCACAGCCAGACTGCGGCAGAGGATCACAAGTTCAAGGACAACCTGAGCAATTTAGCTTGATCTTAAAGTTTGTCTCAAAATATAAAAAGGGCTGGGGGTATAGCTCAGTGGTAGAGCAATTGCCTAGCATGTGTAAGGCCCTGGGTTCGATTCCCAGCATGCACACAAATGCATACACACATACCTGATTGTTTCCAGGTATATGGATAGAGCCAGTTGAAATCCTTAGCAGATTTGTCATATACTTTATATGGGAGGAAATTTTTAATACCTTGGTCAATGATAGTTATGCAATGCTCTTTGTAGTGTTTCATTTTTGTTTTTGTTATACAGTGCTGGGGTTTGAATCCAGGACCTCAGGCATGCCAAGCAGGAGCTCTACACTGAGCCACACCCCTAACCCCCAAAGACTCTTACTATATAGGAGGTTCCAAGGGTTTGGGGAGCTCTGCCAGAAATTTAAGACAAAAATCAAATATTTATATTATTAATATATTACTCTTATAATCACTTACATCAGTCTGAATAAACCAAAATATGCTGTTATATTTTTAGCATACACATCAGTTTAAGCCACTTCGGGGTGGGGGGGGAAGTATGACTTTCTCATGCAGAGTTATTGTGGAAATGGATGCAATCTAAAGTTTGTTATCATGGTTGTTCTCATAATTCACCCTCCCAAGTTAGAACTAGTTCACCCACTGATTGATGTTCTTGGTCCCTTTTTCCCTTCTTTCCTTGGGTGAGTTTTCATTGAGAACCCAATGCTGTGGTCGTGGGATGATGGGTGGTCAAGAGCCTCTGCAGGCCTCACCAAGCAGCTGCCCACTATGCTGCCGTGCTCAGTCTGCCTGCTTGTTGCAGGGCCCCGTGAAGCATGTGTACAGGGTCCTGCAGTGCCAAGAGGAGGAGCTCACACAGATGGTCTCCACCATGTCTGACGGCTGGAAATTTGAACAGGTATGTTTCTCAAAGAACAGCTATCCTGGTACCTCAACCCAGTGGGCCAAACTCCTCAATTGCTGTCCAACCAATTGCTATCCCTGGGAAATGGGTAAGGCCCGGTGAGATCCATTCCAAAATGTGGGAAGACAGAGTTACTTGGTGCCCATTACTTGCTTATAATGTGATGGGTTGGGGAGGGTTGAGAGGAGAGAGCCACATCTCCCAGCTTCACATCCAGAGTTTGAATTTGACAATTTCCAACAGAGCCAGCAAGCTTTTCTAGGCTTCAAAGAGATTCCCTTTGGTTTTTCTTCCCTCAGAGAGATTCCTTTCAAAAGTGCTCTGTTGGGCTGGGGTTGTGGCTCAGCAGTAGAGTATTTGCCTACCATGTGTGAGGCCCTGGGTTCGATCCTCAGCACCACGTTAAAATAAAGATATTGTTCAACTACAACTGAAAAATAAGTGTTTAAAAAATAAAGTGCTCTGTGATGAGTCCCTAAAGAAGGTGGTTCAACAGCAAGCTATCTTCTCCCATAAGTGCTTGGTGAGCAGGTGGCTGTGAGGGGATCAGATGCACTGACCAGTGTAGCTTAGTTGTGGCCCATGCTTCTCTCTGCTCTGTTTCTTTCAGCTTTGTGCTCAGGTCTGAGTATCAGAGCAAAACTACTGAGAGTCAAGTTTTACTGTTTTCTTCCATTAGATGGCAGAATTGTTTAATTCTTCGATTGTCTTCAAAACACAGGAAGGCTGAGGGTGAATAGAGGGAATATATTTTTTTGTAGAGTTGAAGAAGCCACCTGAGCTGTCACTGTAAGCTCACCTTGTAAAATAAAAGTTAGAATCTGTGTTAACTTACCCAGTTCTAGATCAAACGCAGAGCTGCCTCTGGCTTCAGACCCAGTGCTGGGACGCTCCTCACCCTTGTCTCCCCCTGCAGGACCAGTGGGCCTGGCTTTTGCTCAGGTGTGGATGGCAAAATGCTGTGCATGGTTGACTATCCGTCCACCCTCTCTATATTTGCTCTGATACAGAGTCTTAAGCCAAGCTGATGTTTTTTTGTTTGTTTGTTTGTTTTGAGGTACTGGGGATTGAACCCAGGGCCTTGTGCATACAAGGCACTCTACCAACTGAGCTATATCCCCAGCCCCTGTATTTTTTTTAACAAATTATAAATATGAGTGTTTTTTGTGAAACCAGTAGATAATTTATGTTGCTTCCTCATCTTGTTAATGCCCTGTGGAGGGACAATCTGTTCTTGCTTCTATGATCTAGAGAGGAAGCTGAACATGGAACTGAAGTGCCCCAACCCCAGACAGACAGCAAGGAGTTCCCATCTTGTGGCCATGTGCACTTGTGAGGATGACCTCACCCTGGGCTCAGCTCCTCCCTCTGAATGTGTATTTCTGATTTAGGAATAGGCACTGAATTCATTTCTCCAAAGGGTTAAAGTATCAGCAGTGTGCACCTTTGGGGAGCTGTTCAGTGATTCTGCACCTCCACCTCCTGTCTAGGACTACTACTACTTACAAATCGACAGTCTGTGTTTTGACTGAAGCAAGTGTTCATTTTCATTCACAGAAACGTTCTTCTTCACCTCATGTTTGACAGACAGTGATTGTGTTTGCCTTTAGGAGGATTTCAAGTGCTAGGGTGAGGGAACACTGATAGAATTCAGACTTCTCTTCTGAGGAAGCCTACTTGATGATGTCCTGGTGCAGTTAACCCCCAGGACTTCAGTAGTGTCAGAGGGTTCTTTGTCCTTGAGAAATAAAACCACAAAATCCAGTCGGGGAAGGGTATGACGGGTGCACTTGACTATCTTCACATCACTGCCTGTTTGGTCACCATCTTCTTTTGCCAGCTGATCAGCATTGGATCTTCCTATAACTATGGAAATGAGGACCAGGCAGAATTCCTCTGTGTTGTCTCCAGAGAACTAAATAATTCTACCAATGGCATCGTCATAGAGCCAAGTGAAAAGGCGAAGGTAAGAAGCGGCTTGTCCAGGTTGTGTGCTGGTTTGGCCCAGCCCTCTGCCGTAGCCTGGCTGCTGCTCCTCCCCGCCTCCCCCTCCTGCAGCAGCTTTGCACTTCCCTCTTTGGGCTCTTTTGTCTGCTGAATTTTAATCACGGTTTAGGGAGCCACGGCAGGGGTTTTCAGTTAGAAAATGTGAACCTGAAGAGGTTTCTTTGGCCTTTGACAAGTCAGTGAAAAAGCAACTTTTTATTGCACTAATTACTCCGTGGAGAGATCTCAGAACTAGTATCAGTCCTTCTTCCCCCACCTCAAGGACAAAGGTCTCTTCATACCTTTCCCTCCCTTACATTCCTAGAAATCTGTTGTACACTGCTACCTTCTTTACTTCTACTGTGCTCCACAAACATGAATGCACACCACACACACACACACACACACACACACACACACACACTCGCATGCACTTCTAAACTACAGGGTGAGAGGAGCTTGAACCATTTTCTTAGCTTGGGAAGACTGGTCCAGTGGCATAGAAACTCAGGACCAACTGTGTTCAGCAAGTGTCCCAGGGTACTCAAGGCTTAGTGTCTGCCTTACCACCATGTCTGCCCACAGGGTCCAATGGATGCAGGTCGGGTCTTTCCTTTTTTCTTTTTTAAATCATTTTTATTGTAAATTATAACTTAATTTCAGTGTAATCAGATCATATACACTGGTTTAAATTTTTTATTATTTATTTTTAGTGCTGGGGTTTGAACCCAGGGCCTGTGCGTACTAATAAGCACATGCTTGACCACTGAGCTACACACCCAGGCTTCTGTGGGTCTTTCCTTCCCTTTGTCATCTCCTCAGCACCTCAACCTTTTCCCCCATCTTCCACTTTCAGATTCTTCAGGAGAGAGGATCTCGGATGTAAGCTGAGAATCCAAAATTTCAGAATCCGGAAAGGCAAGAGGGCAATTCAGCAAAACAGCTCCATGCAGTTAAGTCTACACCTGTATGATAACCGAGCTACTGCAAAGCAAAGCTGAGCCTGCCCCAGTGAAGAAGTGTCCTGGTTAAAACCAAAGGAACCCCACCCACCCTTGGGACTCCAGACAGACGCACCTCTGGCTGCAGATCCCCTTTTCAGAACCTGCTTTTGTTCTTATAGCCAGTGTTGTGACAGATCTTTACAACAGCAGCATGCTGGGTCTCCAAATGGAGCCTTTGGGGATCTGGGGGAAGGAAGAAGGAGGAAGGCCTAGGTCCTTGGAAACAGCCTAGCCATCAGGGAAGCTGGAGCAGACAAAGGAGGACTGTCCCAAGCCGTGCCCTGGTCTCACCTGCGTGTGCCACTCTTTCCCCCTGCTGGGCACCCTCCAAGATTTGTAGCAGATGCAGAGGGTTCTAGCTTCAGTGTGTCAAATTGAGTTTCTGACACAGGATGGAATCACCAGAGGACCCACATTCTCGTGAGCAGAGCCTGTCAGGCAGGAGACGCTGGGGTGTCCTCTGCCTTGGGAGGGTGGCGGTTCCTGCTTTCCCACAAGTGGCTTTGTCTGATTAGTCTCCAGCAGCTGGGCTCAGTGTGACCAGCCTCTCCTCAGGAAGAGGTTTGAGGCAGGTGGCATCCTGCACCAAGTCAGGGGAGTGCCAGTGGTTGGTATGGCTGCTTCTGCAGCCTCCTCTTAGACCCATTGACCCCATCTTCCCTGGCTTTTTAATCTGGACCAAAGATAAAGGACTTTGAGGATCCTTTGATGGCTTGGGGTGGGGAAGACTATCTGTTTTGAAGTTGCCAAATGTGTCATGTCGTACCTAAAAGTGTTGTTTCTGTGATTTGTGTCTTGAAAATGCCCTGACCAAACGTGCGATATTTTGTCTCTCCTTGGTGTCGTCTAACCTTGGCAAACCTGCCCCACAGCACTGTAGTGACTCCACACCATCCCCAGCAGTGTGTGCACTTTGGTGGGCAGTCTGCAGACTTCCTGTGTCTCTGTCCCCATCACTGCTCCTTCCTGGGGACTGCCACATTGGTGCGAATAGAGTGCTTTTCTGACCAGCATGCCTCAGAGGCCTCTTTAGGATGTGACCACAGAACTTGTAATTGCAACTTGTAATTCGAGTGTCCATGAGTAGTCGGGGAGGCAGAGGGGCTGGAGAAGCCTTTATTTTCCCTAGACAGCTATCAGCAGGCACATGGTTGAAGAGGAGGATGTACCATTGAGGTTCTCACTGCTCCACAGTTCAGCTCCTTGCCAGGGGCTCAAGGTTAGTGATTTCTGGAGGGACTAGACTCTAGTCCAGTGCCTATTGACCTTGTGGCCTGACCGTGCCCAGATGGTTTAGCTTTTTTCAGGAGTCTCGCTTTTTCCTTCTCTGTAGAATAGTGTAGAAACGTGTGTACAGGCTCCTTCTGCATCTGCGTCAACACAGTGTAAATGTACATGTTGGCGCCTCAGAAGTCTGTCTGTGCTTGATGTTCTCATAGCTGTAATGTGTTAGGTGAACTTCCTACAGGAGGAGTAGACACCCCTTCTTCCAAAGGGCCACAGGCATCCACCCTATCACACCTTTCAGGAAAACAAAAGATTTGGGTGTAGTCAAAGACAAGTAGAGATGTTCTGTTCAGCGTAGGACAGAAGACCCCAGAAGAGAAGCCTTTGGCCAAATGGAGTTAAGTGATGTCAGACCGCCTGGGAGGAGCAGCAGTGTTTGGGACTATGTTGCTCATACTTGGGGGTAGGTCCCAGTGCCTCTGGCCCCACCCCAGCTTTGTCAGCCAGAAGGCTGGAGGGCAGATGTTGAGCAGGTACCTCACGAATGCTCTGATATCTTCATTTAACCTTGTAGAATACCACAGCTGCTTTTGAGTGTTAGGCCCAGTGCTCTGGGCCACAGACAGGTGGCATTTCTGCTCTTTGGGGGCTGGTATTAAACTTTTCCTTCCTTACTGCAGCCCAGTCAGTTTAACTGTTCCCGTGCTCCAGGAATCTGAAGATGGCTCATTTCTCATGGCTCCTGGAAAGTATTTTCCCAAACCCTTTATGAACCCTGCCACTGTTCGTGCTTGTAAGCCTTCTCCCTGGAAGTCTTGCTGGTCCCTGCGGAGAGCAGCCTGCCTGTAGGTTTGGTGGTGTCACATGACCAGAGACCCACACTTTCTGCTGTGCCAAGACTGCCAAGTGGGGAGCATCTCTGCCTTTATCTCTGCCCTGGGTCTCGGCTGAGATGCTGCTGGCTGGGCCCAGGAGCGCCACCCCCCCACGTGCTGGGCTGCAAGGCACCCAGCCTCCTGGGAAGTGACTTCATTTCTGCATAGTCACACTGTGCTTGGGTGTCAGCAAGACTGGGAAGCAGTAGAGAGGCTGAGAGGGAATAGGGCCCAAGGGACACCCACACCCTCCAGCATGGCCTTTAGTCTGGACGTCTGGACCTCTCAGACCATGCCTGTCACTTGTGGGTGCCCTTTGTTACTACTCACGTGTTTGAAATGCTGTGACTTTTTTTTTTTGTCAATAAAGATATGAAACAAATGCCCTGCCTTGGCCCTTGGCCATGTTCTCAGTCATTGCCACTCCGGCTTCCCTGCCCCTTCCCCCAATTCTCAAGCTGGTCTCAGAAGATGGCTCACTGTCCCTGTCCTCATTTCTCCTGCTGTTAAAACTGCCTGAGGGGCTCTGGGCCTTCTTCCTCCTCCCTGTCCTTTCGCTGAATCTGAAAAGCCCAGGAGAGTGCTGAGGAACAGAAGGTGGGGACAGATGGGCTGCCTACCAGAGAGCTGGAAGGACATGGGAGGAGTATGCGAAGGTTTTTAAGGGAAATGTGCCCCTGGAAGAGAAGCGACCAGGGCCCATTTCTCCACAGGAAGATGAGTCAGCATGGTGGGAAGTCTGTCACTGAGGTCATGTGGGGGTCCTTTATTTACTTTGGGGGTTTAGGAATATAAAGCTTACTATTGAGTATTTTGGCACAGCTGGAGGAACCCTTTCCCACACAGGGCCTGCAAGTAGGGAGACGAGATGCTTGCAGACTAGGGATTGCGGGAGGCAGGTGCCTTCATTTGGGTCCATCTGGGAAACAGATCTGGCAGCTGAGGACCAGGAGTGGAGCAAGGGAGGCTCAGGAGCACTGAGGTGCCTCAGCCGTGGGGATTGCAGAGTGCAGTCTACTCCCAGGACAGAGCAGTGGAGAGAGCTGGAGCTGAGTGCAGACTGACAGGAGGGACCCGCGGAGGAGATGCAGGCAGGTGCTGCTGGGACTGGGAGAACTGCAAGAAACCAAGCCATTGCCAAGCCAGCTGCTGCCATTGATCCCCGTGGATCTGCTGGTAACAGGAAGCAAACAGGAAAGAGCATAGCCCTTCTTTTTCCCCTCACCTTGCCACCCCCCTTGCAGAGCTGTCCAAAGCAAGCTGGAAAAGGAGAAATGTGAGACGGGCGAGGTGGCACACACCTGTAATCCCAGCAACTCAGGAGAAGACAGGAGGATGAGAGTTGAAAGCCAGGCTCAGCAACAGTGGGCACTAAGCAATTCAGTGAGACCCTACATCTAAATAAAATACAGAAAAGGGCTGGGAATGTGACTTGGAAGACACTCAAAACAAACCCAAGTCATAGCATGTGGACTGGGGAAACTGAGGTTCAAAGAGATCAGTGGTTAAGTGCCCCTGGGCTCAATCCCCAATACAAAAAATATATATATATATATATATCAAGATATGCCTGCTCTACTCAATTGGGATAAGTAGCTGAGAAGCACCTAATTGGAAGGTGCCACACACACCCAGCCAGATGCTCTAGACACCTAAGTCTCAAGCCTGAGTGCCCAAGACTGCAGAATACCAGAGGGGAGGGGATGCGGGGGCCGGGGGTAGGAGGCAGGCAGCCAGGAAGCTGCTGTCACAACCAGGAGAGAGCCACAGAACCTGGGCAGAGGTACAGTGGCGTGGCAATGCAGATCCTGATTAAGCCCCATCCCCAAACTTAGAAGGCAGACTGTAGGATTTAAAGAGGAAGACCAGGGTGTCAGAGAAGCCTAGACTCATGGGCAGATGAGGACTGGAAATGAGGTGGAGCCAACTTGGTATGAGATAAGGAGTTCAAGACAATGGACAGAGGTGAAAGTCTCCACAAGGCGGGCTCTTAAAGGGTGGATGGTGATCACCATCACTGTGGACTTGGAGCTTGGTTCTGTAGGCGTTTCAACTAACATTCTCACTTAACCCCATGACCACCTGCCTGATAGAAGAAAGCTGTACTCAAGTTCTGAGTTCTGAGCCACGCTGCTCAGTGCATTCATATAACTCATGAGTTATTTGCATTCCCATGTTTTTGATGAGAAACCCTGGGCATAGGTGCTAGGTAGTTTGGCCCAGGTCTCATAGCTCTTGAATTTGCATATTAGTCTGTGTTCTGTAACTGTAACAAAATACCTGAGATTGGGTAGCTTATAGAGAAAAGAGGTTTATTTAGATTACACACAGTGATGGAGGCTGCTAGTCCAGACAACATGGCAAAAGTACTGGTAAAATCATCACATCATGGCAGATGCCTTCATGGCACATAAAAGGGAGACAGCACATGGTGAGACAAGAAACCAGGAGGAGAGGCTAAGCTCACTCTTTTATAACATTTACTCTTTTTTTAGTGGTTGATGGACCTTTATTTTATTTATTTATATGTGGTGCCGAGAATCATACCCAGGGCCTCAACACATGCTAAGCAAGCGCTCTACCACTAAACTACAACCCCAGCTCAAACTCAGGCTCCCTTGAGAAGAATCTCAATCCCTTTCCAAGGGCACGCCCCCATACTTAACAACCTCCCAGGAGGCCCCACCTCTTAAAGGTCTCGGCAGATCTCACGCCTCCACACTGAGGAACAAACTTCCAACACATGAAACCTTGGGAGACACACTCAAACCATACCCAAATCCTACCTAGCACGTGGACTGGGGAAACTGAGGTTCAAAGGCAAAGGGGACTGGCTCTAAGATAGATCCAGTAGTCTGGCCCCAGAGCACACACTCTTCAACTACAACACCAGTGTTCTAGGTTTAGTGGCTGAAACTCAGCTGATCAGGACAAAACTCATATTGTCCCCCCAACATTATGAAAATTCCCACACACATAGAAAAGCTGAAAAAATAATATAATGAATACCTGTACACCATCAACTTTGATTCAACCATTATTAACATTTTTTCATATTTGCTTTATAATTGTATTACAAAAGTTTTGCTGAACCATTTGAGAGTACTTTTTAAACATTGCAACACTTCACCATTAAATACATCTGCAGGTATTTCCTGAGAATGAGGACAATCTTCCCCATGACTGTAATGACCAATGTCACATCTAATAAAATTAATAATAATTCCACAATAGTATATAAATATCAAGTTCACAATAGTATATAAATATCAAGTTCCAATTACCCCAAAGTTTTAGTGTTCTTTTTTTCTTTTCAAGCCAAAATCCTATCAAGATTCACTCTGTAGTTCTTTAAACAGTCCTACTTTTTGGCATTTTAAAAAATATAACAGATTAGAAAATATTGCAGTGTATTGTGTGCCCATAGTACAATAATTTATTAAATTATTATTTGTTATTTAGCTGAGATATCAGTTCAACTACCTTCACAAAAGCTAAAGTAGCAATGATGTAAATATAATAGAAGTTTGTTTTACTCGTAATAATGCAATCATGGGACCCTCTCTCCTCTCTTATCTCTCTGCCACTCTCAAACATAGCATCCGCCCCGTGATCTAAGATGGCAGCTCCTTCCTTCCTCCTGGTCTTCATTACATCAAGAAAGGGGGAAGGAAATAGGGAGGGCATCACATACAATTTTGCTCTGATCCCATTGATTAAAAGTCACACAGTCTTAGTTTTGTGGCATATGTGCCTTCATGAATTTTTGGTGTCTTATTATTAAAGGGATATGGAAAAATGGGCACTAGAGGTCACCAGCCTACACAGTTGTAAGTGACCATGTTGTTGAACCCCGACAAAGACCACCAACTCCAATTTTAAATCAAATTAAAGCAAGCTTGTATTTGTGTGCACAAAGAGCTGATCAGCATCTGTCTCTCCCAACACAATCTAGAGATCAGCACCCCCAGCTCTCCAGGAACAAGGTTTTATAGCACAAAAAGTTGCAAAGAGAACTTACAGCTAACAGGATTTTAACAAGCATAATACAAAGGCAGATAGTAGGTTAATGATCTACATGGTATTTCAAGTAGTAGGTAGTAAATTCAGATCCCAACATCAGAGTTTATGAGGTACTGCTGAGGTTTCAGAGAAGGTTGTTATCTGGTCAGGGGGAGCCAGGATTTATGAGGCACCACTAAGGTGTTAGAGAGGGTTGTTATCTGGTCAGGGAAAGCCAGGCTTGGGTGAGTTCTAGGCACGGACAGGAATTCCAAACAAGTTTAGAAATTGCAGTAATTTATAGTAAAATAGATATTAACTTTTCATGACTTTATGATGAGACAGCCCCCTGCCGCAGCCTGGCTGGGCACAATTCATGAGCTACTTGTCAAGCAGAAATGAACTTTATTTTTAGAACACACGCAGCACCACACGAGCTCTTCAGGAATTCCCTCAGAGCCCAACTGCCACCACCAGCTTCCAGCGAGCCTCTCAACCCCCACTCCTCCCGCTCTTGAGGCCAATCGGCTGGGTCGCATGAGCGAAGCCAAAAGAGTCCCCCAATGAGCAGCTCCGTGGTCTGAAAGGGCGGGGAAACAGCCCAATGAGCATCACCGCAGAGGAGCCAATCAGCTGGAAGTTTGCTGGGGCCGTGGTGAGCCAATCAGCTGGAAGTTTGCTGGAGCCACTTCGGCTGTGGCTCTCAACATCTCCCCCTCTCTGTTTAATTAAACAACAAGCATGTGGCTTAGGTACCGTGCCTGCCTTAGGTTGTCCAATAGTACATATGGTCCTTACCCGTTATCGGATGAGCTGACCTCAAGGCGTCAGCCTCCTGTCTTAGGTTGGTACCATTGCAATTGGATCTTACCAATCACTGACTACCGGTCCAGTATACAGCCACACCGGTGGATAGGTCTTTGTATCAGCGGGGGGGTGAGGTTCTTTGCCTCACCTCTGTTGGCCCCCAAATTTTAGCTGAACGACCATGAGAAGCAGAAGGGAGGAAGATACACCAAGCCAATTGACGGCTCCTTTTGGAAAAATTGTACCACCAATGACATCATCAGCAAAAATACCCCAACACTACCACAAGTCACTGCACCAACAGATAGTTCACAATGCATACAGGTGAGTTCACAATGCATACAAGTGATTCATAGTCCAGGCAAGTTCTGCAAGCAGTTCAGTGATGGCTATTGCAAAAGCTGTAGATTAGTTTTATTTTTGTCTTCACCAGCACTGGGATGAAGATAGGAATTCTGGCAATAATGGCTAAAGAAAAAATTATGTAACATTCCAGCAGGCACTAAAAGAAAACAATTTTCTGAACAATTTACATTATCCTGAACAGAATTATTAAATATAATGAAAAGGAAAGGTGAAAGTAAA